TGCAGCTGGAAGACTCACGGCGTGCCAGTTGGGTGCAGAAGGCCGGCACCCCGTGCAGCAGAACCGGCAGACGCAGCACCTAAAAAACAACAAAACAAAAACAAGAAAGATAAATAAAATAAAAACAAGAAATATAAAACAAAATAAAAATAAGAAATATGAAACAAAATAAAAATAAGAAAGATAAAACAAAATAAAAAAAAGGATAAACACAAAATAGAAATAAAATAGATAGAAACAAGCTGCATATACACGAGCTATGACAACACATAGGGCGGTGTTGCTGCGAGCTTTTCGTATACATCCTGCACTGCTGCTGCCACTGCTGCTGCTGCTGCTGCTGCTGCTGCTGTTGCTGTTGCTGTTGCTGCTTCTGTTGCTGATAGTGCTGGTGTGTATGTTGTTGTACCTGAATAAAGGAAGTTTCTGTTTCTTTGTTTGCTGCTGCTATGCTGCATGCAATGATGAGAGAAGATAAAATTTGTAGGGGGAGCTCGAAAGCCCCATTAAAAACAGAGAAAGACCAGAGCGCGCTGAGGCGCCGCAGCTGCTGCGGGTCTCCAGCAGCAGCAGCAGCAGCAGCAGCAGAAGCAGAGGCAGCAGCAGCAGCTTTCTGAGATGATAGCTGGCTAGCTAGTCTGAAGGCATCGCTCATCGTCGCCGCCTGAAGAAAAAAGAAAACACACCGTGGGGTGTATGCATGCACTGTGCATGCAACAACAAACAGAAAATAAAAAAAAATAACAATAAAAAAAAACAATAATAATTTAAATAATAATAATTATTATTATTATATGTAAATAATAATTTAAATAGTTATAATAATAATTATATGTAAACAGCCGTCGCTCGTCGCTGATACGAAAGAGGTGTATACAACAAACAACAACCATCACCACCACCACCGCCACAGCAGCAGCAGCAGCAGCAGCAGCAGCAGCAGCAGCAGCAGCAGCAGCAGTAGCAGCAGCAGCAATGAGAACAACGAAGAGGAGGGTTTAACGTGTATAGAGATGCGTACGAGGGAGAAAGTAGCAGCAGCAAGAGCAGTATAGAAGATGAGGGTGCGGCTGCGGTGTATACGCAGCTTTTGTTTGAGTTGATAGCAGACAGCGAATTTGAGGGCCTCTTGCATGCAGCTGCGCAGCAGCAGCGCATCTATAGCAGCAAACAAAAGAAAACCAGGACGCAGCAGCAGCAGCAGCAACTGCTGCTGCTGCTGCTGCTGCACTGCTGCACTCATACCCAAATCCAGCAACGCAGACACCGCGAGGCCGCAACGCCGCAGCAAAGGCAAACTCAACAAAAAAGGAATACACAGCAGCAGTGTAGAGGCACACACGTAGACACCCTGAAACAACACACAACAAAACCTTCATATATACATATATATATATATATATATATATATATATATATATATATATATATATATTTTTTTTTTTTT